GATGACCCCGAGAAAACCAACACCACTTACCTGGATGACTCGCAGCAGGCGCAGGGTGAGTGACCCGAGCGCTGCCCTGATCCCCCCCAGTCGCATCCCAAGTTCTTGGGGAGGGAATGAGGCAGCTCCTGGGCTCTCTCCTCCCAAGGTGCAGCCCCGACCCCACAGCAGTGACCACCGCTCACCCCTTTTGCCCACCATTGTCCATCCCTGGCTGTGGAGCAGGACTGGCAGCGGGGAATTCCGGGCTGGCATTGAGGCCATGAGTGCAACAAGTTTGCCAAGCCTCAGCTGGGGGAGCTGGGCTCCACGGCGGTGGGGGGAGCTGGTTGCTGACCCCCTTCTCTGCAGATATCTCTGGCAAAGCGGAGGACCCTGAGTGCCTGTCGTCCTCCAGCTACCGGGATGCGGAGAGCGAGCGGTTCCTGTCCTCCAGCTCCTCCACCGCCCGGCGCGTCTCCTTCAACGAGGCCGCGCTCTTTGACCAGGGCAAGAAGACCCAGGAGAAGGGGAGGAGGTGAAGCTCTGGGCTGAGCGGGGCACAGGGAGCTGGAGCTGCCCCTCCTGACCCGGCTGTCCCACAGGTACACGCTGACAGAGGGGGACTTCCACCACCTGAAGAACGCCCGCCTGACCCACCTGCACCTCCCGCCGCCTGCCCTCAAGATTGTCACCATCCACGAGTGCGAGTCCAGCGAGAACAGCCTGGCCATGACCCCCCGCCTGCCCCCGCCCAAGCCTGGCCTCGCCATCTTCCAGGTGAGCCCTCGGTGCCCGGGGACAGATGGGGCACGGGGGTCAGGCGTCCTGCAGCGCCCCAGGGAGGCACCGCTGGGCCCAGGATGGGATCTCAGGGCATTGCTGGAAGTAGAGACAGGAGGCCCTGGGGTGCAGGGGTCCCTCCTTGTCCCCACCCTCGTGCAGACCCCTTGAGCGTGCTCTGCCTTGCAGCCCCCCACAGGGGCCCTGCCCCGGCCAGTGCTCCCCAGCCACGCCGTGGGCCCCAGCTCAGCCCTGCCCGGGGACACCTACAACTCCACGGTGGACACCAGCTTCACTGAGGCCAGCCCGTCTGCCTCCTCCGACTCCGGGGAGGGCCCTTCGGTGAGTGCTGGGGCGAGGGGCTGGGGCTGGGAAGGGGCTCCCAGCCTGCACAGCCCCGAGGGTCCTGTCCTGCTCCCTCCCTGCTCCCCCAGACCCCATCCCTGCCCCCTCGCTCCGTGCCAGGGCTCAGCAAGAGACGTGGGCATCCAGCTAGAAATAGGCTCTGCCCCCCTCCACCCCCACCTCGTCCCTGCCCCGGGGGACATTTGTGCATCTGCTGCAGCCCAGCTCTTCGGAGCTCGGAGCGGACAAAGGAGCCGAGCGGGATGCGGGGGCGCTGGGGAGGCACGCTTGGACCCGAGCAGGCACTCACGGCCCCCCCGTACCCCCAGTTCACAGCGGCCCCCAGGAGCGGGAAGGCGGCCGGGGCGGGCAGTGCCAGCCCCGGGGAGCACCCCCCGACCCCTCCCCAGGGCACCGTCCTGCAGTTCTTCACCCGCCTGCGCCGCCACGCCAGCCTGGACGGGGCCAGCCCCTACTTCAGGATCAAGAAGTGGAAGCTGGAGAGCACCCAGCGGGCGTCCAGCCTGGACACCAGAGGTGGGGGACAGCGGGACCCCGCCGGGCCGTGCGGGTGGGTGGGTGTGTGTGATTTGGGGGGTCGCTGGTGCCGCTCGGGTTGTGCCCCCAGCCCTGCCCTGTGCCCCCCAGGATCCCCCAAGCGCCGGCAGTTTCAGAGGCAGCGGGCGGCCAGCGAGAGCATGGACCAGGAGGATCGGGACCCCCATCAGACCGACATCATCCAGTACATTGCCCACACGGACGACGTGTCCTTCCACCCCGCGGGGGGCCCCTTCCTGCCCTCCCCCGCCAGCCCCCCACCCTCTCTCGGCAGGTATTTTTCAGTAGATAAGTGGGGATGGGGATGGGTGAGCCGGGCAGGGCAGAGGGGAAGGCACAGAGGGAGACCCTGCGCTGCCCCGGGCATGGGGGGCTCCCACCTCTGCGGCTCTAGTGGGGCAACCGGCTCTGGGGTGAGGGGTCTGGGGGAGGTTGGGCTGGGACGTGGGCACGGTGGTTGCGACAGCACGGAGGACCAGGTGGCACCAGGGCGCTGCTGTGGAGCCCGCGGGGGCCGGGCTGGCACATCCCTGCCCGCTGCCTGCGGGGTCTGTGTGTCCCTGCCGTGACACCGGGGTGGTGCCCGCAGGCTAGAGCCAGGCGAGGGGGGCGCGGGCAGCCCCGGAGAGTCCAGCGTGGCCGAGCAGCCCAGCGCCTACCACGACATCTGGAGCCTGCGCGCCTCGCTGGAGCTGTACGCGGCCTCCGAGCGCAGCAACGACCAGGACTCGGTGCGCAGCGACGGCGGGGACAGCGTCTCCTCCAGCAGCGGCGTGCCCCCCTGCCCTTCCCCTTCCCTGGATGAGGCTGAAGGCCCCGAGGAGAAGTTCTGGGGTCGGCCCAAGGCAGAGGAGTCGGAGCCCGGCACACGCAAGCTGCTGCAGATGGACAGCGGCTACGCCTCCATCGAGGCGCCCAGCCGGGGGGGCGAGGAGGGTCCCCCCAAGGACCAGACGGCCTCCGAGAAGCGCATTTGCTTCACCAGCGCCGGGAGGAAAGGAACCATCTTTGAGAGCTTCGAGGGCCGGGACCCGGAGGAGGAGGAAGATGAGGAAGAGGAGGACGGGGGGAGCACAACTCTGGGTGCAGCGGGTGGGGGACACCTCCGTCCCCACAGCCCCCTGGCCTGGTCCCCGTACGGGCAGATGTTCCCGGGCCGGGAGGGGCTGCCCCGGCGGGACTACAGCATCGACGAGAAGACGGACGCGCTGTTCAACGCCTTCGTGCGCCACGACCCCCAGTTCGACGAGTCCCCGCTGCGGGGGAAGCACCGCTCCCGCACCCACCTGCGCAAGCAGTGGCAGCACACGAAGCAGTTCAGCGACCCCGGCGTGCGGTACCCGGCGCTGGAGCGGCACCGGACCCCGCTGCGCCGCGGCGACAGCGCCAATTACCCGCTGGACTCCCGGTTCCACAGCCCCCTGCCCCGCATCGTCAGCGCCGGCGACGAGGAGGCAGCGGAGGCGTCCGATGGGGTCCCCCCCGCCCCGGCGCTGCCCGAGCCCGAGATCCAGGTGATCGTGGAGGAGCCCGCAGAGGCAGCCCCCGAGCCCAAGGCTGGCTCCGAGCCCCCCGAGGACCATGACTGCCCCGGCTCCGGGAGGTGCTTGGGGCTGGGCTCCGGCTCGGAGCTGATGGACAAGATCGCCGGCGGCCTGGAGGAGCGGCTCTACGGGCACCTGAGGAAAGCGGCGGAGAGAGAGACCCCCGAGTGCACGGTGGCCGTGGCGGCCAGTGATGCTCCCCCCGACCACAGCACGGTCTAGGCCCGGCACGAGGGGGACAGACCCCGGCTCAGGGGGGCTCGGCCCCCACCAGGGTTTCAGGGCTTCATCCCCTCCCGCTGCCGGCACGGGGTGCCCAGTGCGGGGAGGGGGTCCCGGCCCAGGCCAGGAGGGTACGTGGGGACCCCCGGCTGTAAGCTCAGCACGGGGGTCCGGTAGCGTGGGGTGGCCGAGCCCCCCGGCTCCCGGGAGCGAAGGGCTGGGCTGGGGGAGCCCCGGGGGTCGGGGCACGGTGGAGAAGCCGCGCGTTGGCCGGGGGTCAGCGTTGGGGGACTTGGCCGAAGCCCCTCACCCCGCTGAGTGCCCCCGTAGCAGCTCGGCTCTCCCCTCTCTCCGTGGTTTTACAAGCAATAAGCCTCTGGTCCGGCTGGGGATGTCCCTGCCAGGAAGGGGCCGGAGCTGGGTGTCTCTGCGCCGGGGGATGCTGCGGTGCCACCCCGGCCTGGGGTGGTTTGTGGGGGGCAGTCACCTCCTCAATCCCAAACCCTGCCCCCCCAAGATCTGCAGGGAGCCTGGGATCTAAACTGGAAGCAGGGCCAGGGGGATTCTTGAGGGGCTCAAGCACCTCCTGGGGGACCCCCCCCAGAAAGGATCGGCCCCGGGGACCCCAAAAATACCCCCTGGAGGGGTGAGGGCTGCCCCATGCCTGCCCCTGGTGCTGCCCCCCGGCCCAGGGTACAGGGTGAGAGCAGAGGGGGCATCCCCAGCATGTGCTGGGGGTGACCCCCAGTGCCCCCCACCACCCCAGGAGCCCAGGGGGGGGCTCAAGGATATTTATTGATTTTTACAGAGGCTGCTGCTGCTGTTCTGGAGGTGGGGGGTGGTGGGGCATGTTCACTTTTTATTGGGTTTTTATTTTGTGTTTTAAAGAATGGGTGAAAAAGAGAAAAAAAAAAAAAAAGAAACTGCCCCAGCCCTACCCTGGCTGTGGCACTGGGACTCGGCAGCGGGGGGAGGACAGGCAGGGCCCCCCCAAACCCCCATTGCATGCGAGTAGAGGCCGGGCTGCCCCTTCCCTCTGTGCAGGCTCTGCCCAAAGCTCTCCCTCCATCACCTCTGCGTTTTTAAGTCTATAAACAAAGGAGAAAAACCAAAACTGTGACATCTCTGAGCTCTTTTCTTACCTTCTGCCTCCAAGGATGGTGCCTTGCTGTGGGGGTGGGGGCAGGGGGGCTCCGGGCTGCCCCACAAGTGTAGGGTTTTTCTGGGGGACTGTGCCCTTCCAAAAGGAAAAGGAGGAGGAGGAGGGGCTGGTCATACCCCTGACCCTGCCTGCTGCAGAAGGAAGGACATGAAACCCACCTGCTGTTTTCACTTTATTTTTCTTTAAAAAAGAAAAAAAAAAAAAGAAAAAAAAAAGAAAAAAAAGGGGGAGAAAAGCAAAAAAAAAAAAAAAAAGCAGAAAAAAAGCCAAGTGGCTGCCACCACCCTGATCCCTTTGGAGCCCAGATTCCTCCCAAGTTCTGAGCCCTTCCTGGGCCCTGTTCCCTTCCGAGCCCCCGTGCAGCATGCAGGTGTAATAGAGTTCTGCTTTGTCTTCATATCTGTTTGTTTTTTTTTTTTTCCTCATCTGGTTTATTTTAACACATCATGATGTGTAGGAATCTCTAAATATACCGCAAATATAAACAAAACAAAAAACAAACAAAGAAAAAAAAACAAAAATAAGAGGAAAATATATAATATATAACAGTAGTCTAAAACATAAAGTGCACGGCAATGGCTTTGCACGACTCTACACGGCCGGGGGGGCCTGGCAGGGGGGAGGGGGAGGGTCCCACCCCCCCAGACCCCTCATCCCACCCTTCCCATCGCAAAATTAAAAACATAATCAGTGTCTTGATTGGCAAAGAGTGATTGGGGGGAAGGGGGCAGCGTCCTGGCAGCCGCAGAGTTCAACTCCCAGGTGTCCGACGGGGAAGGTCTGGCCACTGCAGCTTCGTGTCCTGGCGCTGGCCGGAGCAGGGGGTGCGGGCAGGGAAGGGGGGCTGGGCTCCTTGGTTGGTTTCTTCTGGTTTCCTTTTGGATTGCAAGCACAGTCCAGTCCCAGGAGAGAGGCAGAGCTGGGGCAAGGAGGGGGACACAGGCTGGCCTGGGTCCAGGGACGCTGTGGGGAGAACAGAGAGAAGGGGGTTAGGGATGGCAGGGGCTGCCCAGTTTGGGGTGCTGGCTTTGCTCCTGCTCTGCACCCTGCCCTGGGACTCCCTCTGGCATCCTGGGATGGGAGCGAGGGGCCCAGGATCCCTGTGCTGTCCCTGGAAGGTTTTAGAGGCTCCCACAGCACGTGGTCCCTCTCAGCCAGGTGAGCCCAGACCTGCCCAAAGCAAAATCCCCGAGGAGAAAACAGCGCCAAGGAATGTTTTATGCCAAGGAGGGGAGCATTCCCTTCCTTCCAAAGGTTTCTAGGCTAAGAGGGGGAGTGACCCAGCCAGGCTGGGGCAGCGCTGGAGGAGGTTCCCCTCCCTGCAGCAGCAGGAGGAGCAGCAGGTCCCGGGGAGCCCCATCCCAGTCCCGCTGCACTGACTCCCCTGACTCCCCGCAGGTGACTCACTGCCCCCATGAATTAAAGATGGAGCTGCCACGGGCCTCTGACAGCTGCAGGGGGAGGATCTGGCTTTTATTTTGGGCTTTTTTCACACCACAAAGCTGGTCGTGATCCAGGAGATAACAGAGCTCAGCCCCAGCAGCGCCGTGACGAGCATGAGGCCGGGGGCGGATGAGGCTGAACATGAGTCACTGCTGGCTCCGTTATGAATGAGGGGTGGGAAGGAGGGGACAGGGCTTGGAGCTGGGGAGGAAGGAGCCGGAAGGAGGGGGGGAAGCAGGGAGTGGGCTCAGCTTTCCCTGGAAGTGGCCTGGCCATGGATGACAGGGGCAGGTCCCATGGGGGCCTCTCTGGGGACACCCTGGGGCTCGGCATCCCCCTGTGCTCCCCAAATCCAGGCAGGGAGCAGGGCAGAGGGGCCATGGTGCCAGGGAAAGGGGGTGTCATGGCACAGCCACAGCCCAGGAGGGGAAAGAGATCACTACAGCACCTCTCAGATGACAGGGCAGAATAGAGCAGGGCACGGGGGTCTCCTCTGTGCTCTGCACCCCCAGCACCACAGGAGATCCAGGAGATCCAGGCCCTGGCTACCCGGGACTCTACAGAGGGATGCTCAGGACCCAGACTACAAATCACCCCTCAACTCCCTCCCCGTGCCCGCGGCCGGGGCAGGCTCAGATGTCTCCCCGCTCCGTGGGGCAGAGCCCGGCGTGCCCCAGCAGTACCTGGGCAGAGCTCACTGCTGCTTGCAGGTGGAGAGCTTGCGGATCTTGCTGCTGGCGGAGCAGGCCTTGCGGGAGGGGTTGGAGGAGGCGCTGGCCCGGCGCTCGCCCTTGGCCCTGGCGCTCAGCTGCCCCGGCTCCGTCCCGTTCATGCACACGGCCTTGGGCAGCCCCTTGCCGCGGCTCTGCCCGTTCTGCCCGGCCTCCTCCTCAGGCACCTGTCCTGCAAGGGAACGGCCACGGTGATCTGCAAGGAGCATCCCCTTCCCCGTGCCCGGGATGGATCTGCTCCTGCGGGAAACCCCAACCTGCTCCTGCGCAGGAGAGAGGGATCCCCAACCCGGGATGTGCCAGGCTGGGAGCCTGAGACTGCTCCTCCTGCCCGCTCCCCTCGAGGGCTGGTTTGGCCCCCATTCCCCAGCACACAGTGTCCCCTCCTCCCGGCACGGTGTGCCCTGCTCCAGACCCCAGGCAGCAGCCCAGCTCCTCCGGGGAGCAGAGGTACAGCCGTGGATGAGGTCGCTCCTCTTCCTCCTGCCTTCCCTGCAGGTCCCAGCCTGGGGTACAACCAGGGTTTGGGTGTGTTTGCAGAACGGGGCAGCCTCCCCTGGCAGGGCTGGGGCTCAGCTGTGTCCCTGTCCCCTGAGGGAACACCCCATGGGTGTCATCAGCCCTTCTCCCTCCTCAGCTCCTCGTGACTCAGCAAAGCAGGTGAAGAGCCATTTCCAGAGGCATCTCTGGCGCTGGGGTCACGTCCCCTCACTTGGGGAGTGACAGAGGGATGTGGCTGCATCCCGGGGTGCTCCCAGCAGGAGCACGGCGCAGCCCCCAGCCCAGCACAGGGCTGAGGAGAGGCTTCGTCAGGCCCCTGGCTCCCCCCCACCGGATCCAGCCGAGGCAATTTCCTTCCAGCAGGAACGTCATGCTCCAGGGCCCTTCAGTTATGACTCAGAGGTTTGAGTGGAAGCAAAGGCTGTAAGACAATTATGTATAATTTTCTTTAAAGGATGCTCAATCCTTTCTCTGCCAAGGCCGGGCGGGACGTCAGCTCCGCTTGCGCCAACCATCACCCCACTGCTGGGAGCCGGGGGGGACACACAGGGCTGCGCTGGGGGAGCACCTTGGGGGTCTCCCCTCGGACCCCTGTACCTCGCCACATCATCCCTGGCCACTGCCAGAGATGGGGAGGGAGGGGTGGGTGTATCCTGGGATACACATGCAATTGATTTCCTCCTGGACCTCCCCCTGTATCCCTCCCAAGGCTCCCAGCGCTGCCACAGCTTCCACTCGCTGCCTTGGGGCTGCTCCTGCCATGAGAACAGACAGGGACTGACTGACCAGGGACAGCTCCTGGCTCCTGGCACCCAACCCTGGCACTGCTGGAGCCAGGGGCAGCTGCAGTGCCCAGCCTGGAACTCTGGCCCAGCCCAGCTCAGGGACTGTAGCCTCCCTCCAGGGCATGTGCCAGTGCCCCCAGCACTGTGGCAGTGATTGGCACAGCAGGGCACAGGAGCACAAAGCTCATGGTCCTGCTTATGGACTCCTCCAGGGCTGGAAAGGGCTCAGGGGGCCAAGTTCTAGAGGAGACACACAGCCCCAGAACCTCCAGGCATGGGGCTCCCATGGGTCGAGCTCCAGGTTTCTCGTGCCATCCCTCCAGCACAACTGCAGAGCCTCAAACAACCCCATTCAGAGCAGAGCTGAGCACTTCTCCTTCCCTCCCTCGGCTGAACTCGGGCCAAGTCAATTAACATTTCTGACTGGGGAGGGAAAAAGAATCTATCCAAACAGCTCACTTGTCTTTTGTGTGACTCTTCCCTCCTCCTCTCCTTCCCTGCTTCAAAAGCACAGTCCCGGGAGTCTATTATGGATATCAAGGAGGGAGGTGAATCGTGAGCTAATTTTACCTCCTTCACCAATGACAGTTGCTGACGTTCAAATTAATGAAAATAAAAATTCAGCACGGGCTGAAGTCTTGGCAACTGCTGCCCCCGCGGAACCGCTGACCCAGCGCTGTGTCTGCCCCAGCAGCTCCTGCCCACCTCACCCTCACCACCAGCAGGGCTAAAAATAATATAAATAAAGGGAGAGCTGAAAGAGGAACCAGGAACGTGGCTGCTCATCCCTGCCACCCCTCACATTCTTAATGGCTCCGCATCCAGCTCATTCAGGCACCAAAAAAGGTTTCAAAATAACACCGCAAAGAGCCTTTGAATGGCTGTTTGTCAGACTGAGCACACGGGCACCGTGAGCAGCCAGGAATGCAGCTTCCTGAGCACCAGGCTTGGCTCAGGAGCTCCAGTCCTGGCTGTATTTTCCAGCCTCAGACTGAAAATCCCAGGAGGAGGTGCTGCAGGATGGGGTTGCAGCAGAGGAAGGGTTAATGCAGGATAGGAAAGAGCAGAGCTCAGCCCCTAGACCTGAGGCAGCACAAAAGCACAGAGCAAGACCAGGAGGATCACATCCCTTCACTGCACAAACCGGGGAGAGGACTGAGGATTCTGCCTCCAGGCCACAGCCATCCTCCTCTCCATCCTCTCCTAGCACTTTCCTGCATGGGATGTTTAACACCGATTGAACCAAGGGCTTGGAACATTTACATCTCCCCACAGAGCTGCATGAATCTTTAAATAACCCTTTAAAAATGAAAGCACTTCCTCAAAGCCCCTTCTTCCTCTGAAGAACACAGGATTTAATGAGGTTTCCTCTTTCCCCCGCCTCAAACCCAACACCCACCCCCACCCGTGAGTCACTCACACTCCTGCTCGGGCTGCCCAGCAGAGCCACAGCTCAACTGATCCCCCATCTACACGGGGGCTTTTCATTTATATTTCAATATGGGATCACTGCTAGAAATGCAGCACTGGGCAGGTTCAAAGGGATGCTGCAGGAAGACTTTGGTGGAGAAATTAATATTTATTCCCTCTGCAGCTGCCCCCGCCTCTGCAACGCCTCACAAACCCACCGAGGGTCTGTGCTGGGACCCTCCTCACCCTGCTCCTCCCACAAGTGTGTTCCCAGTGTTGAGGGGGTTCCTGCCCACCACAAACACTGCACATCCCACCCCACCAGCCCCTCTCATCCTTTACGTCTCTAATCCCTCTGAAACAGCACAAGTTACATAGAGAACATGGAAGATCTGCCAGTAATCTGCCTGTCATCTGCCATGACAGCTCTGATTTGGGTTTAAACGCTGCTGTTTGTATGAGGAAGGTGAAATTCTTGCTGTCAGTGCTCCCAATGTGATCCCTCACCTCAGACACCTGCCTGCATAGGGCTCACCCTGCTCAGCTGGGATGGACATGGAGCTGGGAAGGCAAGAACCAGGCTGGGACCAGTCTCCCACACATGGGGATCCCCCAAGTGTGCCACATACCCTGAAGGCAGAGTCATTTCAGGGCTCTGTTCACAAATAACTCATTCTAGCAAAATTGGTGCAAAGAATTAACTGCAGAGTCCAGCAGCAGCTGATCCTGGGAGAAGGGGAGAAGCTGGCACAGGGCTAACACTGGGATGGGCGTCCTGGTTGATCAAATCAAGGACTGAGGAATCTGGAGCATCATGGCTCGCTCATACCATTCCACAACCAAGAATCTCCTCTGCTGAAAGGATTATTCAAGACCTTGAGGCCTGAATAAAAAAGCTTTAAACACAAAAAAAAAAAAAAAAAAAAAAAAAAAATCCCCCACAACCACTTCCCCCCTACCTGGTACTGTGAAGTCCTGAGTGTAGATGATATCATCTTCAATGTCATACAAGTCATCATCCTCTTCCTCATTGTAGCCATGCAGATCTTCCAGGTAAGGCACCGCCGTCATGCTCCTCCACCTGTCCTTTGTCTCGGGGCTGGGAGGGATGGGCACCAGCGCCTCTGCCTGAGCGTGTTTCTTCCTAAACCAGCTGCAGAGAGCCCAAGGGCAGAGCTGGGTCAGTGCACGAGGCGTGCAGGAGCCCTCCAATGAGCACAGCCCACCCCAATATTCTGAGCTGGGAGCTCCACCCGTGCCAGGTGAGGAGACACCAAAAGGTCTGGCCAGGTGTCAGCATTGGGGTGTGCTGAAGGACACACTGGGAATAGGACAGGCACAGAGGGACAGGCACAGAGGGCAGCTCAGGACCATTCTCTCCATCACCAGCTCCAACCCAAACTATCTGTAAGTCAAAACATCAGCAGAGCTGCCAGAGCTCCTGAGTTTTATTATCCAAGCAAGCCAGATAGAAGGAACTTGCCCTGTCCTGAAGCTGAGAATGATCCAGCACAACAGACACAAGTTTGCAGGATCCCAGCCTGAGGAGAGGGGCAGTAACTGCAGCAGTTTCCTCTAAGAGCCAGTTTGCACCAAGGCCACAGCAGAAACGCTTCTACTTTATCTTTTTATCCCCCCCTGTCTCAAGGGACTCCTATCACCACCAAACCCTGTGCTGCCATCTGGCCAGGAAAGGATATCGTCTCCGAAAGCTGTTCTTAATCAGATCAGGAATCCAGCAGGCTGCTTCCCAGCAGCATCCCAGAGCCAGATGGGATAAACCTCTTAGGTTTTCATCTGCTGTGGTACTCCCATAGCAGAGCTCTGACTCCAGACTGTCTGGGACATCTCCCAGTACTGCATGTGGGCACCCAAAGTCTCCTGGAAGCGCTGCTGGAGTGCTCCACACCCCCAGTGACCCCCTAAATGTGGGTGGGAGCAGAAGTTCCTCCAGACTCAGGTACCTCTAGCACAACTTTGCAGCCCACATGAGCCTGATGGGACACGAGTGCTTCCCACCCTGCAGTTGGCATTCCGTAACTCCTGGCCTCCAACCACGGAGGAGGGCCTGAGCCAGCCCAAGAGCTCTCACCAACCTGAGCCATCTGGTTTTTATCACCCCAGTTCCAAATTCCTTTCAGGAAGGAAGGCTGAAGGCACCTCCTGCGCAGAGCTGTAATTATAATTTTGTTCTAGTCTTACACTGCTTTGACAGCCGGCCTAAAAAAAAAGTGGGATTCTAACAAAACTATCAGGGAAAGCGAGGAATGAGGAGATAAACAAATGGAAATGCAGCTACTGGGACAAATCAGGCAGGATTCAAGGGAGGGGTGAATTCTCATCCAGAAACTGCTTCACCATTAACATCTTTAAACTGTTTTCTCCGCAGCAATGGAGTTTTGCAGCCCCTTGTCTGCAGGGAGGAAGGTGTTGTTTGGGGAGAGGGACAGGAACTGCTTCAGATCTCATCTGGCAGTTGTCACCTCTAGTCTCTGAAGGGGCACTAAGAGTTAAGCAAAGCCCATCCCAGCTGCTGGACCAGCTGAACTCGATTTTGGCCCTTCACAGATCCCATGGATGGCTTCCTTGGATGGCTTCCTTGGTGACACACGTGGCACACTGCTCTCCCCATCAGATCAATCCATTTCTCTTCCTTGGAGATTCTGTTCACTGAGGAATGACTGCCAAGACAGCCTGGGCTGATCCAGCCTGGCAGGATCAGCAGCACAGGGGCAGAGGAACCACCAGCAACCAGCTGATTTTGCCAGGGGGCTGGAGGGATCCAAACTCCACACCAGAGACCTCGGGAGAAGGGAATATCCAGGACAAATGAGGTCAGAGTGACCGCTGTTGAAAGGAGAATTTTAAAGGGAAAAAGCCTGGATGTCTATGGTAACTGGTGTTTTTATTTTGCTGTATTTCAGCTCTGCCTCACTCTTCCCTCCTGTCCTACTTACCAGGAGAGTAAAAATAGGTTTTTATTAGCAGCAGAAACCTGAATCACTGTACTCCAGTCATTATGCTTCCATCCTCTGGGAGGTGATTTCAAACACTTGCATATGCATATATGGTAATGAGGATAGAGAGTGAAAAGAGAAATCCATTGAAGTTCTAAGAAAACTCAAAGACCTCTTGGAAGGAGCCTTGAGCGATTCTGTATGGAGTAGTGGAGTATTTCCTGGCAAGGATTTTCCAGCAGGGACAGACATTTTGCTTTCTCTGCTGGTGCTGGAGGTTGTCACCAAAGATTTGCTCTTCAGCTGAGGACCACTGGCTTTTGGAACACCCTCATCTGCCTCAGGAAGCCACTGCCTGAGCCAGAAAGTAGCAGCTTCTGGTCAGTGATGGCCATGAGATAAAGCCCCTCTTCAACCTTGCCCTCACTGCCACCCAAAACATGGGCTGGGTCAGAGCCCTGCTGATGAGTGCCTTGTTCCACCAGTTATTCCCAATTTCAGGGATGTTTTCTGAGCCATCTGCACTGGCACACACAGAATTACCTGGTGCTTGTGGCAGCTGCTTTAACCTTGAAGGTGAAGAAAATATTTTGGATCTCAGAAGCGCCCCTTGTGCAGAACATCCCTCTGCAAGAGGCAGATTCCTCTCTGCTCTGTATTTCAAAGGGGCTGGGAGTGGCTTAGAAATGCTTCAGAGTGAAGGCAGCAGTAGTAAGGGATTTATTTCTTCCTATTCCACAAGCTCATTGAGGCCCTGCAAAGCTCAGAAGCCCCGGGCAGCAGCAGCACAAGTGTTAATTGTGATGCTGCCAGGCACAAGTGGCCTGGCTGCTGTCAGCCACAGGGAGATAAGACAGCAAGGGTCAAGGACTGAAGGAAAAGAGGAATCTGGGTTGCCCAGTGCTTAATGAGCCCGTTTGGTTTGCAGTTCCCAAGCTCAGATCTCCCATCACAAGCCCTCCCTCTGCTCTTTTCAAGTCCTGGTATAAGCAAGGTTAAAATAAGAATCTTGTAAGCACAGCTGCAGCTTTCCAACACTCCCAGCTATTCACTTCCCATTTGGGTCACAAACATTGCAGTTGGCTTGGTTTGCACAGGGATGGTTTTCTCTGAGAGCAGATGCCAAGCTGCACATCCCTGCCCTGCCAGCCAGGGTCAGGATGAGCAATTCTCCACCTCCTGTGATGCCATGTAAGGGCCTCGAGCTCCCTGGAAGGTCATTGTCACCACAAGCAGCAATGAACAGGGTTCCAGTTTAGCTCAGCTCCCTCACAGGCGGCTGTGGAAGGCACACAGTGTCCCAGGGAAAGGCAACACACACACAGAGCAGTGTCCCTGCAATCACTGCTCCAGCTCTTGCTGGATCAAGAGATGTCCAAGCTCTTCAGTCAGGTTCAGAACAAACAAAAGTATAAAAACAGCAGCTTCTCCCAGCTGGTGGCAGAACCAAAGGTAGCAGGGATGGCTCAGACTCCTACAAGAAGTTCTGGAGATTCAGTCCTTTGACACACCATGTCACAAAACTGATTTGCAGAATGTGGGTAAAAGAAAGATCCCTTCCGTGTGCTGCCAGAGGGCAGGAAGATTGAGCCAGGTGCCTCAGGAAGGAAGAGAATGCTTCTTTGTGTCCTGCTGAGGGGAGATCACTGCCTGGCACTACAGATAAGGGATGGGGAAAGCCCACAGGTGCACAGGCAGCAGCAGAGGCTCAGAGAAGCCCTTCCCCTCCCTCAAAAACAGCCCAGGAGCACAGTCAGCCCCTGCAAAGGAGGCCTCAGCAGCACCACACAGATTTCCAAGGGGTTTGGTACCCAGGTTTAAACAGCACAGCATCCCAGAGGCACACTTCCAACCCCACAGGAGCTGGGGAAGGCAGCACAGCAGCTCCAGGAGGGCAGAAGGAGACCTCAGCCCTCAGGTTAATATTCACCTCCACTAACAAAAAGTGGAAGTGCCTCCCCTCTCGTGCTATGAACTCCTGCAATCGGATCTGCGCCTGAACAAATTAAGTGTGACACTTGTAGAGAGGGAAGGGAAGATGGTTGCCTTGGAAACAAGGGACAGAGGTAGAATTCTGCATCCATTTCATCACTTTAAGTGCTGCAGCAGGTCAGTGAATTAGTAACAAAATGTGGTGTATGAGCAGGAAGTCCTTCAGCAAAAGCACAGGGCAGAGGGGAGGTGGTGGATAATCCATAGGGAGGAGGATGGAACTCCCAGGCTCTTGGCAGCTTTTCCTCCCTGCCCTACAATCCCCACCCCAGGAGCACCAAATATTCCTCGAGTTGAGCTATGAGCACTGGTTTTCCACTGAACACCATCCCGCTCAGATCCTTCCAGGGAAAGCAGGTTTTCAGGCTCTTCCACTGCTACTTCAGGGAAAGGTTTCTGGCAGTTCCTAAATTCTGAGATGACAGGCTGGGAGAAGTTTAACTCATTTCCATTTCCAGCTCCAGGTCTGGGTTGAACAGAGCAGCATTTTGCTTTGTCCTGCTCTACTAAAAGTGCAGAGACAGGAGTTTGATGCAGTTCAGCTGCAGGAGTGAGGAGGGAGGAAAGCAGCTGGCAGGGATGAAACTCAGCAGACTCTTCCTCCAGCATTCCTCTGCTGCTGCAGGGCAAAAGCATTTGGAATAGCTGACAGGAACGATGGGAGGAATGGCTGGATTACCATTGCTGGGCTGCCTGGATGCTTTCCCTGCCTCCTGCAGCTCTGCTCCCTATGGAACAGCACTCTGTGCTCCCTTGGTGCTTTCTCAGTGCCCCTGAGCCACTGATTTTATCCCTGATCCCACTGCAAGGGCCTTCACACTTGATGGAAGGGGAAGTGGGGAAGGAGAGATCCTGAACCCCAACTCTGTGGCTGCTCTGATGCTTCCCACAGGGCAGGGGAACCACCCTGACACCAGCCTGGTCCAGCAGCCTGAGTGCAAAACCCCTGCCTGGGGCCCAGGGCTGCTCCTGCTGATTTCAGAGCACTTTGATGATCCCAACTGTCCATATGAGTGAGTCCCCAGGAACAGCAGCTCAAAGACATAAAAGGAGACTTCCAGCAGCATAGAAAGGCACGGGGTGATTCTGGTTTGAGATGGGATCCATCCCAGCAGGGCAGCCTGGGGAAGTTGCTTGATGTTTTTCTGGTTTAGTTCCTGTCCTTAGCACATGTTTTTGGGGGGGAGGAATGTAGAGAAACCCACAATCATTAATGATTTACTCACCCCAATACATGAAATCTAAGGGTTCTAGAAATCAAATGTCTTCTTACTAAAGTGCTTTCCCAAACCCCTTTGCCAATACCCGAATGGCTGCCTGCTGTCCTGACTGCTGTGCTCCATTTACAAAAAGAAAAAAAAAAAAATCAGGGTCAGGTTAAGCATCAGGGCTAAGCTTCTATTTAAAGAAAAGGCAGGAGAACCAAGCTCTGGATTCTTTAGCACAAAAAGAAGCTAATAAGACACATCCAAGGCCCAGGCCACAAGCTCTGCTGTGCTTGATGCAATTACTAGATGCCACAGCAGGAGGAAGGAGGCAATTACTAATAGGGGAGAAAAGCCTGTTAAGAAGCACTGGCTAAGCTCACACAAAACTAATAAGAGCCTAAGCCTTGGAAATGCTCCTGGGTTTGCAGGTAGAGCCTTTCCTCAGCCCCTCTCAGGGCTGTGGGATGAAAAGCCTCAGCACAGCAGCCGAGGAGCTCGGTGGCTGCCCTGTGCCAGAGGTGTGCTCCAGTTTCTTCAGCTTTCCAACTACGGGCAGCACCTCTGGAGACACCTCTGTGCTTCCAGATGGGCAATGCTGATACAAAAAATCACTGCCACGTGGGAGAAGGGCAAAATGGAGTATCTGGAATTGGGGAAGCTGCTCAATCACCTGGCAGTGACCCATGAGGGCCCAGGGCAGCTCCTGAGTTCAGGGGTGGCCGCTGCAGCCACAGGAAGGGAAATGATTTTAGGGCTTTTCTCAACACCTACTGATGACTCCACAGACTTAATTCCTGCTTCTTTGCAGTGCTTCCTGACAAAGTATGGCAAGCTGATCCCCTCTGGTCATGGCCACTGGTACTGGGAGGCACGTGCAGAGAAAGGCAGCCTTGAAGGGAAGATGCCTGTGCCTGTCAGCGTCCCTGAAACAACCCAGGCATGGGGCTTGGCTACTACAAAAGACTCATGCTTACAATTAATTAATTGCCTGGGAAGCTCCATAACCCCTGCCCCCCAGCTCTGCTTGCACCCTGGTCCCTCCAATCCCTGTTGGAGCTGGTCCCATTCACTCCCTGCAGAACCCCAGTGCACTTCAGGCCTCTCAGATTTTGGCTGTGGCTCCTTGGGCACCTCCCAGGGACCATCACAAAGACACAAGAGGAAAGCAGTGCTGTTCCTGCAGTATGGAGTGGGCTCAGCACCCCCCTGGATCACATCCCTGCTTTTACAGCTCCCAAAAGGATCAGGGCAGGCTCACAGGCCAAGCAGCTGCAGTCCAGAGGCAGCTCTGCCTGTCCTCAGAAGCACTTCCCATTCCAAGAGGAGATAAGCTAATGCAGCCTCTGCAGTGAAGCAGCCTCATGATGCTTTTTGTTCTTCTACTTTTATCTGCCCAGGAAATCTCTGCTTGGAGCCTGCGTGTTCAAACAGATCCTTAAAAAAACCCTCAGTGATAACGGGGCATTTCCCCCCCACCCCCTCCCCGTGACTATGGCACGGAAAATGGGGGAGGATATGGGGGAGGGAGGACTGTGATATTAAAGAGAAAGAAAAAAAAATATTTCCTATTGTCCTGGAACGCTTTTCCACATACTGACTCCATATGGAGCAAATACCAGGAGATATTTCTGTCCCCAGACTGGCCAGAACTAACACACGTTACTGAACAGTCCTACTACAATAACACAGCCTTCAGGACCTCCTGTTCTGCTCCATTAGTACTTGCTGGCCTCTGGAAAAAATTATCCAGAACCCTTAATTATCCAGAAGCAGGCATGCCACAAACAGACTTCCAACATATTCCTTATTTACTGGTTAGCAATTCCAGTGCTTCACCGGATGCTCTAATGGGGGGAAAAAAGCCAAGTGGAGGTTGCCAGAGCCCCAGCAGAGCTGGAGGAAGGAGGTCTAGTGACTTCCATGTGTCTGCTGTCAAAAAGGAAACAGAAAGTGAGAGCAGGAGCACAGGTACAGGAGGAGCAGGAAAACACTCACTTGTGCTGCCTTATCTGCTGTATTGAGAACCTCTTGGCTGGGTCGTATTCAAGCATCCCTGAAAAGAAGAAAAAAGTCCAGGTATGATCACAGACACTCTCAGCTGAGTCAAAGCCAGGAAGCACAGAGCTCTGCCCTTCCCTCCCTGACACCCATGCTGTGTCCAGTCCTGGTAGCTCCAGGCAGGATTTGCTCCATCAGCCACAGGAAACTCAGCATAAAATCCCAATCCCATTGCTGACCTGTTCCAGTCTGCTCCTCAGCTTCCCACCTGCAGGTCCAGCCCATCCCTCCCTCCCCGTGCAGGGACTGAGGCTTGTCCAGCCCTCAACCACAGCTCCAAGAAATTCTCCAAGGAAAGAACATCAAGATTTTGCATTTCAGAGATAATTCCATTGAACCTCCTCCATGGAAGAGCCAAAGCCTCAGGCACAGCATATGTCCACTTGCTTAATGTCCCAGATCCTCTGGTCTAGTGAAATTCTATTTTGAGGTGCAGCAGGGGAGAACCACCACCAAAAAAAAAAGTCATCCTACTGCCAATCCCTGTGCCCTGGCCAGAACTTGGATTTCTGGGATCATCTGCTGGGGTGGAGCAGGGACAGGAAAAGCAGCTTATCCCTTTTCCCTCAGAAAGGGAGCTGGATTCCCTAAACACCAGAATTCCCCAAACACATCCCAGTCTCCTGGCATGCCCACTCTGCTCCACTGCCTTGCAGAAGCTTCACAACTCAACAGAAGGGAAGGAGACAATTTTGCCATATTCTTCAGAAATGAGCCAGTGGAACCCTGAGAGTTTCATCCAGCAGTATCCAAGGTATTCTCCAATGAAGGTTTCAGGAATATATTCACCTACTGAATATTAACAAACCCTCATGGCTGAACACTACAGGGAGTTTTGCTTTTACTGGATGATCTCCTGTTGCTCCTGGAGCACCTGCACTGTGAAGTCTTGAACAGGTTGCATGAAGAATGAGGGTTTGGAGATGGGTTGTAACAGGAGGAACCCACCACCAGCAACCAGAAAAGTCTGGGAAGCAGCACTCACTGTCAAACAGGAATTCTGCAAGCAGTGCAGAGTGCTGGGGAGAGCCAGGACAAGGACACCTTGAGAACACAAGGGTGGGGGATACATCGGGGTGGACACTTGGGAAGTGAGGGCTGGAAAGACACATCCATACAAGTAGGAAGCTGCAAGGGCCTTACAGGGGGGAACCTACAATTCAAAGGTGATGGAAGAGATAAATCACCACAGCACATGTGATACTAAAAACTGCTCCAGAACACGTCCCTGTCCCCTGTCAGAGCCCAACTCCTCAGAGTTTTGGATTGTTTGGACTGGGTTTTGAAGGTCTCTGAGGACAGAAACTCTACAACACCTCCCCCCCGCCCCCCCACCACTCCAACCTGTTCCAGAGCTCAACCCTGGCAGCAAAGGAGTTTTCTCACGTTCAGATGGAATTTCTCCTCACGTTACAGGAAAAGAAATAAGTTCAGAGGAAAAAAAAAATCCCACACCTAATTAAAGAACCTATTAATAAGATGATCAGACAGTTTCACAGCTGAGCTTCCCAAATGAGTTGGCTTTTTTTTTTTTTCTTTTTAAGAAATAGGGCTGCAAAGAGCTCTCCCATGAAGATTAGGGGACAAATATTGGTAGGGTTCTTTTATTCATGTTGTAAGAAACAAAGAAGTCAGGACACCACCAACTCCCCCCACTGATTTATTTAAAAACCACACTTCAAGGTGTTTTTGAAATTTAAGGCATTTACCACATGAAACTGGTACGAGCAGGAGAAAAAGTTTAAGGTAAATGATTAAAAGAACAGTAGTCACAAACAGCCACGGCACAGGGAGCTGTTGCTCTCAAGCCATTAAAAAGGCAGAAGGAAAATAATCGAGTGAAAGGAATTTTTACTTCAATGAAAAATGACTGCATTTGGGGCAACATTTGAAAGAAAACGTCCTCACTGAAAATGTACATTCATACATTCAGCTCTGAGTCACTCGTGGCAGCTCTGTGGCTCAAGTCCTGCACTGAAGAGAGGCTTCAGCAAGACAAAACATCATGTTCTATTCACCAGGCAAGTCATCCTGGAGCGTCTGCCCGCAGCAGCCGCCGCTCGCGGCCATTTAGGGTAAAGACTTCCCTGGAGTTTATCTGCGAGCAGGGACGGGCCAGGCTGTGCCAGGGAATGCTGCAGGAGGCCCAGCTCTAACCTCTGCTCCTCAGCATTCCCAGAGGATTTGCTGTGTGCATACAGGGGTGCCACAGAATCACCGAGTCCTGTGGGAGTCCAGGGGTTCCCTCTGGCTGCCCTGGGACCCTGGCAGGGGTCAGGAACCCCCCTGGACAGAGCCCCCAGAGACACTGGCTGTGATCTCTGTCCAGGAAAAAGAGTTTTCAATCTTACAAGATGAATTACAAGTTTGATATAAGTAATAATTAAGTATGGCATGGGTACAAAAGTAAAATTTTAGGTTTCTAGATCAGGGGTCCAAAGGGGACAAGATGGAGGAAATTGGGTGTGCCTTGTCCTTTTTCTCCTTCTTCATGCCCTCCATGTTTCACTGTGGTGTTGGCATTTTTCTGTTGGTTCAGGCTGGGGACACACTGTCCAACGTAGGTGACAGATATTGGCACGTTATTGTAAATCCAGCACAGAAACTGGAGATCATGGATCTGCCCTGAGCTACTCACAACCCCCTACACTCAGTGATCCTGGACAGGCACAGCTCCAGGGCAGAATTCTGGAGTTCAGAACACAGAACAGTCTCAGGTTTGGGACTGGAGAAGCAGGAAGAAATCCAACAGCAAGGATAACAGACTCAGCCTGGATTCTACTTCAGTCTCCAACTTGGTTCAACATTTAACAACCACTGCAAAAGCAGTGTGAGGCCAATCTGTAAATGAGGCAGGACCTTCTCCCTCTCACTGCACTCAGCCAGCTGTTCTGGTCACAAACTCCCTCTGCAGGCAAATCTTGAGCCTGTGATCCAGGCCAGGCCTCTGGAAGGGCACAGACAGCCCTGGGGACCCCTGCCACAGCAGAATTAAAGCATCCCATTGTCACCAGGCTGCATCCTCTCACTGTCCCAGCAAGGGAAAGTCATGGAAGTGAGAGAACAAACTGCTGAGGATCCAACCACCATGTCCCAGGTCTCAGGGCCTGGAAATCAATCCAGATGCTGATTAATGCAGAGCTGCAGCCTCCTCTTCCAGTAAAGGTCTATTAGACCAGGAGGAAGAAAGCTGACCTTGTGCATTCTTCTGGTCCAGAAGCAAAGTGCACAGGAGCTGATAAGCCATGGGCAGATGTTGCCAGAAGAACCTTAAGACTATTTATAAACCCTTCTACTCTGACACATCTCTCCTGACTGCACACACAAAACAGCACCAGCCCTGCTTCTTTCCATCCCTGAAGAGTACAAATAAAGCTTCATCCCTGATTAGGGAGACAAAATGAGGAGCAGCATCCCAACTAATCTGGAGGATATACTGTCATGAGAGTCTCTTTACAAGCTAAATACCACTGAAGCTTTAAGTCTTCTGAACTCTGCTGTTCTGGAAAAAGGGAACAAAGATAAGAACAAGCTCAAGGGGAAGAAAAAGTAAAGACACACTACAAAAGTAGTCAACAGAAGAACAAAAAAAAACCTTACAAAGTGTGTTTGTGTTTGGTTCAGAGCCTGGCTGTGGTGCCTGTGGTCAGCACAGCCCTGGCAGACAGAGGAAATGAGCACTTTGCTGCACTGAATTCTGCCTCACTCAAACCCAGACCAGGCGCTTGCAGCCCTGAGAGGGCTTTTAGAGCCTTTCAAAGCAACACAAAGATGAGACAAAACTACCAGAACGACAGAGCTGAGCTGGGGGTGTCTGTGCTGCTCACACAAACACAGCCACCTCCAGTAGCTGATCCACAGGCGATGGATGCAGCTCCAGCCTGCTGCAGGAGGAACAAGCACTGACCAGGAAATGCAGATGTTCTGGGGGAAAAACAGGAACTAAATAAAGCATCCAGGTTTGTCACCATAGCTACGTGGTGCCACAGCTGCATGGCTCAGCCCTGGGCCTCAGCAGATGCTCGGGAGCTGCTCAGGCCTCCAGAGCAGGCAGAGCTGGGGCAATCCCCCCCAAAATTCATCCCCCTTGAGGCCACCTGGCACACTGACCACTGGAAAATGTGTCTCACACCAAGCAAGGGGAATATCAAAAGGTTATGCTGGCTTTTGCAATGTAGCAGCTTGTACACAGCAAGATGAGGGGTGGAAGACCTCTCAAGTGGGAGAGAGGACAGGAAAAGGGATCCTTAGGGCTTCCCACTGCCCTGAAATAAAGCAGTCGAGTCATCTCCTTCTAGACAAGCTCCTCTCCTCGCCAAACCCACTCGACTCCCACCTCTGTGGTGCACAAGCACAGCAGGGATGCAGACAGACAAACTGACAGCAGTGAGCATGCGGGAGGAGGCTCAGGCTGTAAGAGATGGACAAAGGGCACCAGACTCAAGGCTCTCCCATGTAAAATCAGGCAGAGGGAAGAGCAGGTAATTCTGGCTCCAGATCTCACACAGGGTTGGGAAGAGAACTAGGAGGGGAGTTATTGTGCTAATGAAGCACAAGATTTTAAGCTGTCAATATCCTCAGAACAGGAAAAGAGAAAACTGCCATGCTCCTTTTCCCTGGGGGAAGCACTAAGTGCAGTTGAGAGGCTGATCACAAACCTCCAAGGAGTTCTGCTGGATGCTTTAGGAGAACTGCTGCCGGACCAACAGGACTATAGGATTTGCTCCATTTGGGCAATTCCCAGCTCCTTTAAAGGCCACATTGGGAGTCAGCAGTGACAAGTGAAACGTCACACGGAGCTCAGGCCACTCTTCCCTGGGGCTGGCAGGTACGATGTGAAGCACATCAGGCCACGAGCAGCCAGATCCCGGCTGTGCCAAGCGCCATTGGAAGTGCTGCCTTATGTAACGCCTTCAGAAAGCTGCTAAAGCTGGCGAATGCTTTTGGAAACACATGGAAATAACTGATTTCATCATTGGCATAGGGCCAGGGAAGCTAAAATAACCTCCGAGGGGGGCTGCGGGGGTCTGGCGGTTCCTTGGTGCCGAGGGGCTGGGGGAGCCCCGGCGACGGCAGCGGAAGAGCTCGGACTGACAGCACCACCTGCCGCCGGCACGGCCGGCACCGAGCCAGGAGCCGTGTCCCTGCAGAGAGCCGGGAGCTGTGTCCCTGCAGAGAGCCTGGAGCCGTGTCCCTGGTCCCTGCACAGAGCCAGGAGCCCTGTCCCTGCACTGAGCCGGGAGCTGTGTCCCTGCAGCGAGCCTGGAGCCCTGTCCCTGCAGAGAGCCAGGAGCCGTGTCCCTGCACCCTGCCCATGTCCCTGCACCCAGCCAGGAGCCGTGTCCCTGCAGAGAGCCAGGAGCCGTGTCCCTGCAGCGAGCCAGGAGCCGTGTCCCTGCAGCGAGCCAGGAGCCGTGTCCCTGGTCCCTGCACCGAGCCAGGAGCCCTGTCCCTGCACCGAGCCAGGAGCCGTGTCCCTGCAGAGAGCCCAGAGCCGTGTCCCTGCACAGAGCCAGGAGCCGTGTCCCTGCAGAGAGCCCGTGTCCCTGCAGTGAGCCCGTGTCCCTGCAGTGAGCCCGTGTCCCTGCAGCGAGCCAGGAGCCGTGTCCCTGCACTCAGCCAGTGTCCCTGCAGCGAGCCCGGAGCCGTGTCCCTGCTGCGAGCCCATGTCCCTGCACCCAGCCTGGAGCAGTGTCCCTGCAGCGAGGCAGGAGTTGTGTCCCTGCACCCAGCCCGTGTCCCTGCACCCAGCCCAGAGCCGTGTCCCTGCACCCAGCCTGTGTCCCTGCACCCAGCCCAGAGCCGTGTCCCTGCACCCAGCCCAGAGCCGTGTCCCTGCACCCAGCCCATGTCCCTGCACCCAGCCTGGAGCAGTGTCCCTGCAGCAAGCCAGGAGCTGTGTCCCTGCACCCAGCCAGGAGCCCTGTCCCTGCACCCAGCCTCAGCCCCTGCACCCAGCCTCAGCCCCTGCACCCAGCCTCAGCCCCTGCACCCAGCACTCAGTGCCCCCCAGCCCCTCACCAACCCCACAGAGCACAAGGACCAGGAAAACCAATGTGAAACAAGACAAACATCCTCCACATGGGGACTGATTCCTCACTGAGAGCTGAGGAGAAAGGAGAGGTTGAGCCTGTGCTCAGGGCTGAGGAGCACAGCTGCACCTGGCTGTTCTGCTGCTGAGGAGGCACTGGGAATGCTGGTCGGGCTCTCCCACAGGCTGGAATCACATCCCAGCTCCTGCCAAAGAGGCTCACCAGGCTGCTGCTGTGCACAGCACAACTGCTGCCCTGCCTGACCACTCAGCTTTCACAGGTCGAGACTCTTCAGCACTAAACATCAAACTGCTGCAATAAGTGATGAGAATAAAAAAACAAAAAAACCTACAACTTTCTCCCCACAAAGTGCCACTCTCCTGGTCCTCGTGGTCCTATCCCAGCCCTGCTGTGAAACTGGGCACCTGACACTGCTCCAATATCCTGCAGCTCTGAATTTGAGGGGAAGGAAACAAATGGGACTTGAAACAAACACAGAGGTGAGGTTGATGAGGAGGGACAATTGACCCAAGTACTCAGTGTGTGATATTACAGAAAGCCTGGACACAGCATCCAAGTGGTCTCACTGGCCAAACCTGCACCAGTGCTATTATGCCATTTTAAATTTAACCTCTTGTGGGCTTTGTCTTTAGATATAAAAGCTTCTCGGAACACAGGAAACAATGCAAGAACCAACTCTATAGAGCAGTGGCTGCGAGCTGTGCAGGGTGCTGGTGGATCTCAGGAAAACACCAGCTGAAGATCTGCCAGAGTCTTGTAAGGCTCTAAGTATAACCTCCCTGACTAAAAGGATCCCATATCCCCACAAGACACTTGGAAGGAAGCTCTGGCACTGTGCAAGCTGAGGAGTTGTTGCATCTATAAATGTTACCCTTTTGGAACCAGCTGGGAAGACTCACCTCTCAATAAGTCTGAGAGTGGAGGACCACAATCCTCTGGAATTGTGTAGTCACCTTTCCCGATGTTTTCAAATAATTTATAGATATTATCCCCTTCAAAAGGGTACAGACCCGTTGTGATGTTGTATCTGTGAAGGCAGAAGGAGAAGCAGGATGAGAAGCAGCACACAGGTACTCAGTTCTTACCTGACTACGTAAGCCAAAAGCAGCCAGGAGGAAACCAAAAGAGGAATATTTGGCAGGATGTGCAAAACCTCTTTAAGTTTAGCCTGCCTTCATCACAGTCTGGGACAGCAAAAACTTAAAAATAAATACTGGAGATAGTTGTGGTTTCTGTTACTGCGCTGGCTGGCAGAAGTACAGGTACTTTGGGGAGCATAAACCCACCCACAGGAGCAAGCAGCACCCCCCAGCACACAAGAGCGGTGATGACAGAGCTGGGCCAGGACTGAGCTATCTGAGGGTGTCGTTAGTTGTGAAGTTCCTGGGGGCTCCTGAGCACTCACAGCGTCACCCCTGCAGACCAGATGTCGACTTTAAAGCCTGAAAAGGTGTCAAGGCCATTGGCAATTTCTGGGGGCTGGAATGCTGGCGACCCTTGGCTTGTCCTGCACGTGTCGTCCTCCGCAAACGGATGCAATGCCTGAGGCAGGAGAGACCAAACAGTGTCAGGCTTCCAAGGAAAACAAACTGTGACTCTTGGAAAAGTTCCACCTGGGAAACAAAAGGGGAAAACTCCTCTACTGAACATCTACAGATGATAAAATCATGCCACCACAGCAGCCACACGCCACAGTGACAAGTCTTGCACCTCTCCTACCTAAGACAGTCTCCATATAAAAAGTAGGATAAGGTTATGTAGCTTGTCCCCATTTCCCCCCTTTTGGGCTCATCCAAGAGTGACATCTTCCTTCTCTGTGTTTCCTGAGCAGAGGTTTCATGCTGTTACCAAAAGAAGTGCTTTGCCAATTGCAATAAATATTCAGAGTGTCTCAGAGCACTCTGCGAGTGCAACAGAACAAAAGCCTAAATGCACAATAAATCAATGACACCACAGAGGTGACCTCCATCTAGAATGTCCCCTTCTGACTTCGCTGTGCTTCTCACATACCTCTGCTACGCCTAAATCAGATATTTTTAGTGTCCCATTGGTTGTTAGCAGGAGGTTCCCCGGTTTTATATCCTTGTGGACAATCCCTTGGCTGTGCAAGTATTCTAAGCCATCTATAAGCTGACAAAAGTACCTGCAGAGAGAGGCAGAGGGGAAAAAAAATCAAACACTTTTAGCCAGTAGAAAAGAGCTTTTTGCTGTGGTCAGATACTCTGGGCCATCATCGTAACCCACATGCAGCCTGGCAGTAGTAGAGGCAAGTGTTTCATCTCATAATACCCAGAAATAATATTACTGTGCCTGAATTTCACTTAGGCTGTCTGTAATCTCAGAGATCTCTTAAAATAAAATGACAATATGACCATAAAATTATGTAGCTGCCAAGGATTTGCTGCTCTGCCCTGATTTGATCCTGACAATGATTATTGTGTCTCTGTTCCCAGAATTCTCGGGTTTCTTTCCTTGAGGAGTAAAAAGGGCTCCAGCTTATCCCAGCTAACTACCCCAGCTACCAGATCATGCTGGATATTGCCAATCCCTAATCCATCCCAAGGCCTTTAAAGTCTTTTCTGATGCTGAACTGTGGCTTGACCTCCATTTAGGCAGGAGATTCCCCCCTCAGACCCCTTGGCAAGGCAAGAGCACAGGGACCAGGGGGGCTGTTGGGCAGCTCAGGAAGTAAAGCAAAAATAACAGAAAAAAATCAATAGAAGGATGGTTTTTCTCCCAGAATCGAAGGGCAATCCCTGCTGGCCATTTCAAAAGCTTTTCACTTTTTTGCATGGGTGTAAAATATGAAATTATTGCACAGAGCCAGGTTTGCTTTCAAACACAGTCTGAGCAGAGCAGAACATGCTCTCCACTCAAGAGAACACAGTGGGGAGAGGAACAGAACTTACCCGTGAGCCTGAAACACTGGAAACCTCTTTTCTGGGACACTGTCCAGCATTTCCTGCATCCCACACACACAGTACTCCATCACCATATACGTGAGGGCAGAGTTAAGGAAGCTCCAGGGTTAACACTCCTGTGTGTCAAACATTCCTCAGATGGGCAGCAGCCTCATCCCAGAGGGAATGGCTGCACTTCCCAAGCACTGAGGGGTGTTATTCCAGCTCCCACAGGACAGGAAAGCACCTACAGGAAAATCCTTCTGCCAAATGAGCATCTGCAGCTCTGTGACCAGACCTGCAACAGGATGGGAACTCCACAGAAAATAAGCTGGACATCTCACAGGCATGACAGAGAACAGGGAAATACCTTGAAGTGGGCACAGAAAGTTGGGAACTCCCTGGCAGAAGAGCTGCAGCCTGTTCCTCCAGAGCCCCGGGTGTTCTGCACCTGAGATGACAGTGAGCTCCCACCACCTTCCCCAGAGTTGGTTATTCCTCAGTCCCCATCCCAAACAACCCAGCTGTGTGCTCTGTGGAACAACTGCTGCTTACCCCCAGCCCCACAGGAGTAATCCAGCAGCAGGAAAAAGGATCCTTGGAGAGATGAGAAGCTTTGTGAAACCACATGGATAAAAACAGTTACAACAGAATGCCAAGAGCTGGTGGCACTTTGCAGCATTTGCTCCCTTGCAGCATATTCCAGTTTTTATCTCTGTAAGCTTTGATGCTGGGGCCAAAAAATGGGAAGCAGACTGCCTGATGTTGTAATTGCTGTTTCCTCCTCTCCCTGGGCTTTTGAAGGCCTGGGAGAACAGACCCTGGGACACTGGGAAGTGTCCTGACAGAGCAGAGGCTGCCAGGGCTCCCCTGCAATCTTGAGCACAGTCAATTACTCCTGCAGGCATTTGCCTTCTTAACCTAAACCCAAAATAAGTTACTTTTGCCCCAAGAAGCCACTTGAGGTAGAAGAGGCAGAAGGGAGACTCCTGTCCTGCGTGGGATCTGGGCTAAAGACTCTGCTGCCTCTTTCCAGCATGTTTCATCCAGCAGCTCCAAACACTGAAAATTAAATTCCTGCTCCATTCCCCATGAGCTGCTATTTAGAGTGACCTCAAAATACTCTAAATATACCCTAAACCAGAGTTTATGATGGGCATTAAGACTCTTGGTAAATCAATAAAAGCAAGAACAGAAGAAAGAGCTCCCAAAATTCATTCCTACCCTTTCTTACTCTGGAAGAAATCTGTGAACTACTTCTATCAGCGATTTGGAATACATCAACTCTCCCACTGTCAGGAGAATAACAGTGATGGTAGATAATCCACACCAGCTCCTGGGGAGCAAAGAGGCTCAAGGACAGCCTGGCTGGGTGTCATGAACAGCCAGGCTGCTCCTCACCCCTCCCTGGTCACTGATCCACTTCAGGTTGATCAATCAGATTAGAGAACAGACTTCCAGGCTGGAGCAGATCTATTACAGGTGCCCCAAGCTCTCAGTTCTCCTCCTCAAGGCTTCTGCTCCCACACTCAGCTGTACACACTGGTAATGGGATCCCTGGGATGCTGCTCATGGAACTGGGTTCATTTTCTGCCTGGATGAGCTCTCCATTCACCACTAGCTCTGCACTCCCAGCCACAGCAGGCCAGCAAACAGTCCTTAAATGCTAAAAGTTGTTGATATTTTTAATCCAGTCACCACAGCTTTCCCTTTCCCACAGAAAATCACTGAGGGTTTTTATTAGCTGAGTTGCTCAAACGCTGTCTTAACCTGAAGGGAGCCTACAAGAAAGATGGAGAGGGATTTTTCAGAAGAGCATACAGTGACAGGACATGGGGAAATTGCTCCACACTGACAGAGAGGAGGGGTTAGATGGGAGGTTAGGAAAAAAAAAATCTTCCCTGTGAGGATGGTGAGGCCCTGGCACAGGTTTCCCTGAGAAGCTGTGGCTGCCCCTGGATCCCTAGAAGTGTCCAAGGCCAGGTTGGATGGGGCCTGGACAACCTGGGAAAGTGGAAGATGTCTCTGCCATGGCAGTGGGTGGAATGGGATGAGCTTTAATGTCCTTTTTAACCCAAGCCATTCTGTGACAAACAGCTCAAGCCTGCAGTGCACACAACACTCCGGTGGGAACAGAATCCTTCCTTCCACAGCCCCAGTTTCCAATCCCACAGTGCTTGTTCTGGAAATCAGTTATTGCCAGAATCAGCACAGGGAGGAACGAACTTTGTGAGAGTGTAGAAGCAGATAAAGATAAAAAGAACGAAGTCAACCTGTCCTTGCAAAGGAAAAGCACTGAAAACCAACTCTGGACCAGCACTGCTCAGGGAGTCCAGCAAGGAGCATCCTTGGAGAGATCCCATTTCCCAGTGATGGTTTTGGGTTGTCATCACCTGGTACCAACACACGATGTCTCTCTCGGGCTCCTTTTCCCCACGCTGCCTCCTCCCTTCTACCTAATTAAACAGGATCTATCTATCAATAATTGACTCGCAGTCCCCTCACTCTTGTCGAGGCCACAGCACAAGCAGAAATTGTCACACTGCTTTATCCTAATGATCTGGTGGCAGAGTGTTTGATCTAATTAATGCACACAATGAAATTACTCCTTTTCTGGAGTACTGTAATAAGAAGACAGTAGTTAGAAAACACTGTCAAAAATAAAAGGATCCATTGATAACATATGCTACAAGGGATCAGCTCCAGGAACTTCCACAGTGCTTCCAGGCAAAGTGCTCTCAGTGTTGCAGAGTCACACAAAATCCAGCGAAGTGAGGATAAAACTGCCTTGATCAGTATCTGTGTGAATTTGTGTTTGTGTGGAAAGTCTGCCAGGTAGGCAGGATGGTTATTAACAGTGAAATCAATTTAGCTGCAAAAATTTAAGAAAAAGAAACATCCAAAAGGGCCTTTCCAAAAGCAGAACTACAGCAGAGAACAGTGGGAGTTCAAACCTGATCAACAGCCCTGTGCAAAAGGATATATTTTCTGCTTCTCCTCATTGTACAACACATCTACCAGCTGGATGACATTTTTGTGCCGTAATCTCCGCAGGAGCTGGATCTCCCTGCAGGAATAGACAAGGAAAAAGTTACATTTAAAAAGCTTATTCCCAACTCCATCTCTTCCAAAATTTCACCCAAACTTAACTTGACTGAATGGCTCAGAGACCTGAACTGAATCTTGTGTTTGTGGGGAATAAATAAGGTAAAACAGTGAGAAGTCACCTTCCCCTGGCTTGGGGAACAGACCCTTGAATGTCACCTTCTGTCAGCTCTTCTGATTTTTGTCTCCAGGGATTTTGTACTTGCCCCAAACCATGGTTTAGTCTCTTTTGCATTAAACTCATCCTGCAAAATCCCACTGGATGCCAGCTGTGGAGAAACAGGCAGAGCAGGACAGTCAGGTCAGGGTGGTTCTGTTGGTGCCTGGCAGTGCACGTCCTGCTTTTCACTTTGTTCTGCTGCTGCTCCATCCTGGGCTGTGCTGAGCTTCCAAATTCTCCTTCCCAGCTCCCTTCCAGAGCGATTTGGCCGGTGCTTTGAGCAGTGTGGTCACACTTCATCAGCTCAGCCGCTGGGAAGCAGCATTACAAGGAGTTCTGAGCACAGCTTTGGAAGTGAGAGCCCCTGCCCAAAGCCAGCTCAGAGCCCCTCACAGGCACAATTAGCAGCTCCAGTAATGAGCTGGGGCTCGCACAAAGGCTGAGCAACAACCAGGAGCTGCTCCTTGGAAAGGGCTTCTCTTGCAGGAGTGCAAGGAGAATCCTTACTGATCTTTTAAGGATGCCTGAGCAGTATGAATTATTTCACTACCAAAGTTAAGGCCAGAGACTTCTTCCTCAGCTCTGGATTTAGAAGAAGCCACCAAGAGCTGAGCAGAGACCCAAGATACCACAGCAAAACTCCCAAGTATTGTGTGGACATGGCAGACAAGTCTAATTATAGGAATGACCAAAGGGCTGAAGTGGATTAAATTAGCACAAGGAGCAGCAGCCAGTGTCAGTGTGGAGCTGAGCAGATCCTGCAGCTTGAAGGGAGAGGGCCGAGGGCACCAACCAGGGCTGCCAGAGGGGAGCAAACCCACTCAAACACAACTGCTTTAAGCCCCAAGTGTTGGGAACACATTTAAAATCCTGATCCCAACAGCTCATTCCCTGTAATACAGCTCGGAAGCACAAACACTAATTCCTCCCACCTTCAACAGACTAATAAATATCTCATATTTCTGTAATGATTCCCCCCCCAAGGAGGACTTTGCAAACCAATCCAAAATGCCAGGGCCATGCCCCCACCACTGGGGCAGAGGCCAAGCCACCCTTTTCCCAGAGGAAAAGATTACTTCTATTTTTAGCTCCTCTTTTGCTCTGGAATGCCTGAGGAGCAGGGACAGCCAGCCCAGTCACCTCCGATCCCATCTCACTTTGCAAACCCCTGGAGTAGGGGAGCACAGGTCTCACCTTTTCAGAACGGGCCTAAATTTGATTTTTTTTCTTCCAAAACCACCAACAAAACCCCACCACAGCTCACTGCAAGTGTGTGACCAGACAGACTGCCAGAGGCAAGACCTGCTTCCAAGTACAACCCACTGGAAGGAGACAAGGGGGGAAAAGACCTAACTCGAGCTCTGTCAGATCCATTAAGCTCATCCTGGTGGATTAAGACTTATCCCCTGCAAGGTACCTGCTCTGGCAAATAACAGGGGGTGTTGTTGCTCAGAACTGTAAATAGCAAAGCTTCCCCTTGTTCCATGTGCCACAGCACTTTGGAACACGCCAAAGGCAGCCAGGAAAGCAGACTCTCCTTCCTGGACATCTCCACTGTGAGATCCAGCTTGTTCCCAGCCATTCCTGCCTCAACAAAACCCAGCAACACAGCCAAAGATTCATTCCCTTCCTTTGGTTCCACGAGGTTCTTCCCACAACATCCTGAAAGCTTTGGAAGTGCAGCACCTCTCCAGGACTGTGTGAGCCCAAGGGCTGGAAGTGCCAGGAAGATTTCAGTGTCACTTTTTCCTAGTCCCAAGGGTCTATCCACATCCTGCTCCTGCAGGGATGCCTGGCGTTCCAAGTTCTGTATCCATCACAATCTGTGCTCTTCCATGGAGTACAGGCCCCAGCATTTCACCCAAGCAAACATCCAGCTGAGCAGAGGAAACCCTTGAGCCACACGGCTCCATGGGGAACATTTCTGAGGAGGAGGGATCAGCCCATTCCCACCTGAGCTCACACCTCCAGGGCTGCCAGCAAGTCCTTCCCCTGTTTGGAGGTTCCAGCATGGGACTTGCAGACCCCAGGAACAAACAGGAACAGCACAGCCCCATAACCCAGGTTAACCCTCCGAGGAATTCCCAAGGAGCACAAATTCCAACCAGAGCAATTCCGAGGTGGTAAGTACAGCACAGGGCACTTGGGATCCCACAGAGCCCCAAACACTTAATTAACGTGTCAGGCTATTAGCACACGGCATTATTAAACCTCTGCTGCTGCTGCAGCCACAGGCTGCCAGGTTTTCCTGCCTCTTTTTGGCAATCCCACTAAACTCCTTTTTTTTGCAGGGACGAGACTCTGCAGTGTCTGCCTGACTGAGCCACCCTCACCTGCTCTAAAGAGAAATGAAGATTCTCCCAACAGATTTAAGGAAACTGTGTCTTAAAAGTTCAAGCCCTCAACATCCTCTCCATGACTCAGAGAGCCCTTCAGGGCTCATTTTTCTGGGGCAGAAGTGCAGTATTTTGGGGTAGAGAAAAAGCATTTGATTTGATGTAAGTCCCAAAGACATTTTAGTTGTAATTTCTGGGTCTCCAGAACACCAGGAGACAGAGATGAGGCTGTGGCCTGGGATATCAACAAGGAGTGACCTAAGGTTGGCATTAACATCCTATTTCCAGCCAAACATCTCCAGCTCAGACCTGTATGAGCCTCCACAGCTCATTACTGCACTCTCATTCCTCCCTGTGTGTTACTGCTTGTGGAATTACCCAGGGGCCACTGTCTAGGAACTGTATTCCAGGGAATTCCTTGGATGACACGCTGTCAGCACAGCTGAAGCAGTGCTGAGGTGCCCTGTGAGGGGGCAGAGGCAGGAGCCCACCACAGTAACTCAATCACCTCTGCCCAACAACCCAAGCCTCATGTGCAGCTTTTCCCTGTGGTAGGAAACGCTGGAAACCACTTCAGTGATCAGATTCCAAAAGAGAAAGCAGAACCCACAAACTGACCCAGCCCACAAACTGATTTCCTGCTGTCCTGTGCACAGGAGCAGTTTTTGGGCATAATCTCCTCAAAGCTGCTCCAACACAGCTGCCCAAAGTGAAATTCCAGTGTGATCTGGCCATGTTGACATTAAAATACTGTGTCAGTGTCCTGTCCAGCACTACCTGGAGACTCCACAGCACCCTGTTCCTCGCACATTGACAACTCAGACACCCGGGTTTGGTCACAGATCCCATACCCAGAGCAGGCAGGGTGCACTCCCTCTCACAGCAGCGCTGATCAGCTCAGAGTGCCAGAGGAACCACAAAATACAACAGTTTGCCTTAAAATTCCCCTCTGAAGCAGCAGATAAAGCACATGGATAGGTGGGCAGAAGGAAAAGGATGAGGGAACAGAAATAGGAACTTGAACTAAAGTAAACCCCTGGGTACAAGGCAAGACCTAAAATCTGCCTTGGTGTTTTGGAGCAGGTGGTGCTGGGCCAGGAAACATCCACAGAAAGCCCCTTTTAATAACTCCCTTAATGACCCATCTGATACTCACAGCCCCATTCTGGGCGTGAATAAAACCTCCAGGAGTTCACGTCAGGACACAGGAGCATTCCCATGGCTCTGAGAGCAGGGAACTCTCCTGATGTGGGCAAGCTCTTTTTACCTAATTTACATTGGAAGCTTCCCTAAGGAGGAAACTATCTCCACGTTCCCCAGTGGCAGCTCTGGATGTGCCCGTGGAGGGACCCAGGGACGAGGCTCTCGGCCTCCACCAGAAAAACAAGAAACATTTTATTACACATTAACCAAGTTGGCTTGTTCCTGAACCTGAGCCAGGAAAGGAGAGACAGGGAGGTCCCAGCCTTGGGATGTGACTGTTCCACAGCCAAGGCTATCGAGAAAGGTTGGAAGGCAAAGTGAGAGAGCTCCCTGACAGCAGTCCTGGGACAGGGTGTGAAATATCCCACAGCTAAACTGGGAAATCAAACTGAGGGACAGACACAGGACTCTGCAGGTCAGGGCTCACCCGCAGCAGAACACCAGAAGAGTCTCCTCCACCTCTCAGAGCTCTCCCTCCCAGCCTAGATAAACCCTCATGGGTTGTTTGGGCTGCAGAGGCTCCTGCACAGCTGATAAGCAGCTCCTGGCAGGGCTGGGACGCAGCTGCTGCGAGGTCCAGGGAAGGGAAAGTTCCCACACCAGCCCCACATCTGGCTTCTCCTGGGGTTCACTTCCATCAGGGCTTCGTGCCCTGAGTAACCAGGTGTGGTGGAGGCACAGAGAGCTGACAACCCTTGGCCCCATTTTACAGCCACAGAAATCAGCTGGGGAGAGCCTTGAGTAAACTCCCAAGGACCCTAGAAATGAAGCCAAGGAAAAAACCCAAAACTTCCTGTGCCCATGGGGTGCCCCATATGTTGGATCCTGTTCCAGCCACCTTCCACATGGGTGGGAGGAGGAATTGCCACCACAGAGAGCTCCAGGGCCTTTGGAACACACCTGGGCAGATACAGGAATAACCCTGTGAGGACACCAGGTGTGTTTGTAAGGTCTCACCTCGCCCAGGTGCTGCTGGCTGGGAAAGGTGAGAGAACATAGAGGAATTGCTTTAAGAAACAATATTTTATCCATTAAATGACACCAAAGTGGTGTATTCCAGACTGTCCCAGACCTTGGGAACCTGTTCCTTCCCTGTGCCCAGCCTTACCCAGAGCACTGGCTGCTGTTCAGAGGGAAGAGATCCCTAAATACCTGTGGATTAGGAAGCATTTCCACAGCAGAGCTACGCTGTCAGCTAAAACAGCCCAGGAGCTCAGCTGGTAAACAAGGACCAAGTTCACCCTCTGGGCTCCCAGAACTCTTTACTCACTTTTTCACGTTGGCCTCCCCATTGGGGATCCGGCGCAGCTTCTTCTTCTTCAGGATCTTCACAGCTCTCCTGCACAGGGTCTCTGAGTCCAGCATCTCCTTGACTTTGCCGTAGGAGCCCTCTCCCAGCAGGTCTCCCATGAGGTACTTGCCGATGAGCTTGGCCCGTTTGCGCCGGGGCTGGTAAATGACCTCGGTGGAGTCGATGCGGTGGATGAACGTGTCCATCCCCACCGACATCAGCTCGCTCTCCGCAAACATTCCCAGCTGCTGGGGCTCCTGCAGATCCATCCTGGATTAAGTTCCTTAACCTGTTTTTTTTCCTTAAGCGCTCAGGGCTTTAATCCTGTTTGTTAGTTTCCAACACTCCCTTTTTACTCCTTCTCAGGAAAAAAATATCCAGAAGATTGTACAAACATGAATAATAATTAAAAAAAACAACCAAAAAAAAGAAGGCCAAAAAAAACCCAAAAAAAACCCCCCAAACCTAAGAGCTGCTTCCAGGTCAGTTGGATGCCAAAAGATCCCGGCCTGGCTCCAGAACGTCTTTGAAAAAGAACATAAATCTGTGACGGGACACACTCAGTTTGGGACTCACGTTGCTTCCGACCCGGTCCCGCTGCCGGGGGCTCTTCCCAGTCACCTGGCCTTGACTGGGCCCAGTTTGATCCTAAAGAGTTAGGTCATCTCCAGGCCGTCAGGCCACCCCGTGGAACCAGAGCAGCTCCCAGTCCCTCTCGTGACTTTCCATCCCTAGGAGCTCATGATTCCCAGCTGGGGTGGGAAGGTGTGCTCCCACGGCCCGGACGGGGTGCGGGGGGTTCAGCCGTTGGGCAGCTGGAACCAAGTTTCCTCGAAGGAGTTTTCCGAAACAATTCTTGCGTCTTCGCTGTCGCCTACAAAAGTTTGAGGCCTTTGGTGCCTACCGAGAGCTCCCGGGGGCATCCTTCATCCACCGGGATTCCGCCTGGCACATGATGTGTCACCGCCTCTGCTCCGGGTGTCAGCGGTGCAGGACGACACAACCCAGCCCGGCCCCGGGGGGGTCAGGGGGACCCTCTGCCCCAACTCCCGGTTCCTCCCGGGGCACCGGCCGCCCGGTGACCGGCCGCTCACGGCCGGGGCTCGGGGATGCCCACCCGGTCCCTCCCGCACTTCCCACAGGTGTCACCGCGGCTGGCGGGGCACGGCGGGAGAGCAGAGAGGGGTGACAGGGCACAGGACACTTTCAGCGCCACAAAATCAGCGCCGGGACCGGACGGACTCCCGGGGGAGGGTCGGTGACCTCCGGGCCCTTCCCAGCCCGGGCCGGGACCTTCCCCGCAGACAGCTCCGGCCGCTCCCGCCGCTCCAAACGGTGAACTAGGGGAGGGGGGCTGGCGGCCGAGTCCCCCCTCCCCGTCGCCAGGCGGGGGAGCCGGGCCGGGCCCCGGCGCCGCGCTCCGCCCCGCCGAGCCGCCGCCTCCCGCGTCCCCCCCAAGTTCAGGGGCCGCCCGTCGGCCGCTGCCCCCTGGCGCTGCCGCCCCGGTCCCGTTCCCTGTCCCGGCCGCGCTGCCCCGTTACCGCCCGCCCCGCCGCGCGCGCGCCTCCGCCGCCGCCGCCGCCATCTTGTCCCCGCCCGCCCCCGCCGTTCCGTCCCCCCCCCCCGCCCCGCTCCGCGCCTCGCGCCGCCCCGGCGCGCGCTCCCATTGGCCACGCTCTCGGCCCCGTCCCCGAGCGCTCGAGCGCTGATTGGTTGCGGCTGCACCCCGTCGGGTTCCGGTTGGTTTGTTACAAGCAACCCTCCCACCCACTCCGGCCGGCGGCGGGGCAATATGATAGGTTAATTGGGCTGTCCGTCACCTTTAGAGGCGGGGCTTCATGTGAAATTTAGATATGATAGGTGACTAGAAATGTCCGTCGCGACAGAGGGCGGGGCTTGCGGCTTGCAGCGCGCTACGATAGGCTGCGAGCACTGTCCGTCACCGCTCGGAGGCGGGACGGTGGGACGTGAAGGGCGGAGGGCAAAGGGCAGGCGGGAGTCATGGAGACGGGACCGGGCACGGAGACGGGACCGGGCACGGAGACGGCCCTGTCCCGCCGGGCACCGGCCCTGCCTCGCTGGGGACCGGCCCTGTCCCGCCGGGCACCGGCCCTGTCCCGGCACGGAGCCGGCCCTGCCCCGCCGCCCTCGCGATCCGCCTGCCGCGCGTGGGTCGCGGTCCCCCCCGGTGTCCGCTCGGTGCCGGCTGCACCTCGTCCCCTCCTGCCCAGCCCGGCTGTGTTCAAGTCCAACCAAGCAGCTGCGAGGGCACCCCCAAAATAACCTCCAGCGCCCCGGCCAGAGCCCGGCACGGCCCGGGGGAACGGGCTTCTCCCGGGGCCGCCACCCCTGCACTGCCCCGGCCACCGCAGAGACGCTTCTCCCGCGGGCATCCTCCGGGGGCTCGGTAGGATCGGGCTGCACAACGCTGCTCCCCCCGCTTGGGCGTTCAGGGGTCCCCTCCCGGTTTCACCGGATATCGGAGCCCCCTGTGCTGCTCGGGGAGTTGCGGTAGGACAGCTCCGGCCTCTGCCGTGCCTGCTCCCGCCGGGAACATCGGTAACCGGTGCCGGTAGATGGGGTTTGTGCAGTGCCAGCTCAGAGGAACCACGATGCCCCTGCGGCCGCCTCCAGCCCCGCTGTGCCGGGGGGTGAAACCCTTTGGGGAAAGGGATGGAGCCAGATTCAGCTGGGATTGCAATGTGCAGCACCAGCTCCGAGAGCTGACCGCTTAATTTGAGGCAGGGCAGGACAAATCCCTAAGTTCTTCCTTTCCATGAGAGCCGCTGGCACTGCATGAATTCCAAAGCACAGGTGGGAGAGCCCTGAGCCTGTTTTGGGGGGGACCTGATCAGGATCAGGGCCCCCGGGGTCCCCAAAGGGTCAAAGCACTGCGACGCTCCAGTTTGTTCAAGGAATTTGGTTTGTTCAAGGAATTTGGTTTGTTAAGGAATTTGAGCCTGTGAAGGTTCGGGAGGAGGTTCCAAGGGCTCCGAAGAGGGAGTGTAGGGGAGGGGGCTGCTCTGCCGAGCCCTCCAATCCCGCTAGCACCGCCTTTCCCTCCTCCCTCAACGGCTTCTGTCACCGCAGCGCCTGGCCCGGGTGATTTATTTACTCCAGTCTTGGCGCCGAGTCCAAAGTGCTGGAACCCATCCCCGAAATTCTGGTAAGTGCTGTGCATCCCCTTCCCGAGGTGTTCCCAGCAGTGGGAGGGCAGGATCGGCTGCAGGAGCTCCTGGCACTCCACACGTTGCTCCCTGCCCATCCCACTGCCTGTCCTGCTCCCTCTCCCACCAGGGTGGCAGAACAATCCCCCTCGAAAGGCAAAATCCTGCTCGACTCTCCAGGAATGGGCCACTGGAGCGGGGCAAGCCAAGAACTCCCATGGGGGTCACCAGGTAGCCCCAAGCCCCTCAGCCTGTCCCCCACTGGGGCTGTGGATGCGTCAGGCAAAGCCAGAGGCTCTTGGGTTTTCCCAAATATTTGCACCAGCATCGTCCCCTCCAGCGAGGAGGTCACAAGCTGGGGGAACTGGCTGACACCTGCCCAGCTTGTGGCACATGGGGCACTGCAGGAGCTGTCCCCTCTCCCTCCACAGCCCCACAACCTGGCCAAGGGGGCACAGAAGGGTTTATTAAAACATGGGATGGTTTTGTGGGACCCTGGCACCCCAGCACGGTTCCTGCCAGGTCCCATCCATGCCCCCTGCACAGCGCCAGCCCTGCACTGCCAGGACCCTGCACAGGGCAGGGTCTGTCCCCTGGCAGCCTCTTCCCACAGCTCTGGGGGCACAGGGCCAGCTGGCAGCGTGGCTCCACAGCCCTCACCCCACGGAAAGTCAGGGGATTTCCAGGTTCTGGGAAGAAACAGGAAGTGGCAGTGGGTGACAGCAGCCCGGCACACCCCAACGTGGAGCTGCTCTGCAGCTGAGTCTGTGGGATCAGGGCCCAAAAACGCCCATCTTTGTCCCCATATCCTGAGACTGGGTGTCTTACAGGGACCAGCTGCCTGGAAGGGCTGCTCCTGGAGAAGCCAGGCTATTTTCCAGGGACATTGCTCCTGTAAAGGGGCAAACAGAGCAGGACACAACTCAGCCATGTCCCCACATCTCCCACCAGGGCAGGCACAGGACAGCCCCAGTGCTCCCAGCTCAGCATCACTTCTGCTTCATTCGTCTTGGGGTTTCTGTGTGAATTGGGATCTGGGCTGGGGTGGGAGGAGAAGAGATCCTGGTAAGGCAAGTCCGGGTTTGGTGGTTCTAGGAGGAGGCTGATTTGGTGCTGGATACATCCCTGTGTGTTCTCCCACTGTGCGTATTTATTTGTATTTGTGTAACACCAAATAAAGAGCTGGGGGGACGATTTAGAAGAAGGATCCCTGTAAGAAGGATGTTGGAAAACGTGGCAAGAATTGCCTTGATTAATTACGATATGCAAATGAATGAAGAATGGGAGAAGCGGACCAGCACAGAACTTCCTGGTTCCCCCTTTGCCTCTGGCACACACCCAGTATTCCCAAGGACCCAGTGTTAATGTGGTTCCCATCTGCCAGTACTTCCTATCCTGGTGGATAAATCAGTTCCCTCTGGCTGCTCCTGTGCTGGTGTAAAAACAGACCCATCCAGGAGGCTTCTGTGTGACCCCTCAGGATTTTGTTCCTACCTTGGGACTGCAAAAGTGGCATGAATTCAATGCAAGCAATGGGAAATTAAAAATATTGAAAGGCCCAGTGTGGGGAAAACGGGTGAGGAGCCTGGGATGGTCAGAGCAGGTCGTTCTTTAGCCCTGTGATTCATTTAATTCCTACAGCAGGACTTGTGGCATGGGAAGCTGCTCAGGGTTTGAGTGTTTTCAGCTCTCCTGTGTCTTCTGTGGGTTGAGCTTAAGCTGCTGCCCCGGTCCTGTGGGGAGAAAGAAGTGAGGAATTTCCTTTTCTTTTGAGAAGAAAAGGACTGGACAGACTCCATGGTGCTGATCCAGGGCTGCTCCAGGACTTTGGTTTGCCTCCCATTTCCATCCCATGCCGAGATGGATGGAGGGATGGATGTGGGAGGAAAGGCGAGCGCTCGGGATCCGCAGCGATGCAGAGCCTGCGGGAACGGGCTGTGCTGGCAGCCGCAGGAGCCCCCCGGGAGCCCCGGGCCGGGTGTGGGCCAGGACCGGGGTTCCCTCTGCCCCGGGGGTTCCTTCTGCCCCGGGGGTTCCCTCTGCCCCGGGGGTTCCTTCTGCCCCGGGGGTTCCTCTGCCCCGGGCCTTTGCCGGTCTCCGGAGCCGCGGGCCTCGTTGTCTGTTCATCACTCGGGGCCACCCTGGCCCGGTTCTCCCATTCCCGCTGCCCACTCCCGGTTCTCCCGTTCCCCACTACCCCGGGCCCGGTTCTCCCGTTCCCGACTCCCCCGGGCCCGGTTCTCCCGTTCCCCACTGCCCACTCCGGTTCTCCCGTTCCCCACTGCCCACTCCGGTTCTCCCGTCCCCACTCCCCCGTTCCCAGTTCTCCCATTCCCACTTCCCCGTTCCCGGTTCTCCCGTCCCCCCTGCCCCGTTCCCACTCCCCCGTCCCCCCTGCCCCGTTCCCGGTTCCCCCGTCCCCACTGCCCCGTTCCCGTTTCTCCCGTTCCCACTGCCCCGTTCCCGTTCTCCCTTTTCCCCCTGCCCCGTTCACGGTTCCCCCATTCCCACTGCCCCATTCCGGGTTCCCCCGTTCCCCCTGCCCCGTTCCCGTTCCCCCGTCCCCCCTGCCCCGTTCCCGGCTCTCTCCCGCTCCCCTCGGTCGCCGCCTCCCCTTTCCCCGGAAGCTCCGCGGCCGTTCCAGCATGGCGGACCCGGAAGCGGCGCCCGGCGGCGGCGGCCGGGCGGGAGCCTGAGCCCCGGAGTGCCCGGGACCCGCGGCACCCCCGGACACAGGTAAGGGCCGCCCGCTCGCTGCCCCCGGGGCCGCGCCTTCCCGCCGCCGGCCCGGTCTGTCCGTGGGCGGGGGCCGGGCGGGGGGTTCGCTGGGGACGTGGCCCCCGGCCGGGCCTGTCCCGGGAGCCGTCGGTCGGTGCCGCGGGGAGTGCGGGGGCTGCGGGGCTCGGGCCGGGCCCGGAGCAGCCTGTGGAGACGGCAGCGCCGTGTCCCCCACGCGTGTCCGTCCCGCGCGTGGAGCGGGGCCCGGGGCTGTGCGGCACCGGAGAGAGCCGGAGATGCTGCGGAGCCTCTGGAACTGCGGTCCCAGCAAAGCCCGGAGCCCTCCAGCCCTGTCCGAGCCGGGTCCGAATGGGGAATTGCCCCGGTACAGCCCGGGTGGCCACAGCCGGGGAACCCTCGTGTTTCTGACTCCCTCTCCAGCTGCTTTTCCACGGAGCGCTGTGAAAACTTCACAGCGATCACAGAATCCTGGAATGGTCTGGGTTGGAAGGACCTCAGAGCTCGTTCAGTTCCACCCCCTGCCATGGTCAGGGACACTTTCCACTCTGCCAGGGTGCTCCAAGCCTGGCCTTGGGTTCCAGGGTTCCAACTTCCAGGGA